GAGATCTGGGTTGCTTTCTCAGCTGATCTACCTCCAGCCCGGCCACCAGTTGGCCTTTGGCAATTTGCATGCGTTTGTGACGCCGAACACATTTCAGAGGAGCGTCCAGATTGAGACAGGTTAGGAAGAAAAGCCTAATGAGCTATGTCTGAAAAATCAGCCACTGGAAATCCTATGCATCACAGCAGTCCTGTCTGCAGCCAATCACGAGGCTTGAGGCTGACACAGGAACCGAAAGCCTTTCATCCACCGTGCATGTGTTGGGAACTGCTTTGACTGCAAATGGTTAACAACAAGGATTCGATATTAAAAGATGGATATTGCAGTGAAAGGTCCTAAGGTGGGACAGAGCTTAGAACTCTGGAAGAAATGAACGTATGCAGAAGGAGTTCAGTTTAAGCCCGGGTTAAAGAAAATTAAATTTAACACATTGAGATTGACTTGCACGTTCTGCACCCATGGTGCCTTATACAGGTCCCTCATCAGGTCTCTGTGTGATCTACCTTCACTTCACTCCTTCATGGAGTCTGCCTCGCTTCTTCTAGTCACCTGGTTTATATGCTGGGTAAAAAATATGAATGGAGAATGCATGCTTGTTGTATAATTCACTCCATCATACCTTCAAAGATAAATCAGTGAGCCTGCATATTAGTTTTCCAACCATGAACAGATTAATTTTGACATTTTATGTGAATCTCTAACTTGAAATATCTTACTTTTGAGCAATCCGGGAGTTCAAATGTCATGCATTATATAGCTCTGAAGCTATAGGAAATAGATTTATAAACACAGGCTTGTCAGCCTTAGAAACATGTTTATTAAAAGACTGTGGAATCTCCTAAGAAGTTTTTTTCCTTTGAAGGTTTTTAGTAACATTTTACTTTTTGTTGTGGTTTTCCTTCAACATTCAGATGTTAAAATATCAAGGCCTTTGATCTTGGGCTTAATCTGTTTTTATTCTTCAACTCAGTTACCTGGGTGACTTATTCTTTCTCAGTCTTAACCATTTTTCTCTCTCTCTTTCTTCAACAGCTCAAAAGTACAGAAACATGGTTTATATAGAAATTTTACTATATCCCCAATGAAAGTTACTGAACGAAACATAAATTATACAGAAAGAGGAGTCTTCTTTACTGTGGATACCTGGACCCCGGTAACAATTTTCTACTCTTAATGTTACTTCTTGGGATATACCTAGTCATTAGGTATAATCAATTTAATAATCACTTGAAGGTCATCTGGGTATGTGCCAAACCGGTGAATCCCCCTGGTCTCAAAATTTGGTTTGTCCAGAGACATCCTGAGATATACATCTGGACCTCACTGGCCTCCAGGCCCATCTTGCTTTGGCCTTAGACCGGGATACATATGTCAGCAATATTTTTATGCTCACTATACAAAGCCCCATGCTCAGGGACACCACTGACAAGGAATTCATCCCTGAGACCCTCTTTCGTATATAATATTCTCTATAGCAGATGGTGTTCCGCGGTTCTGTGGGAGAGCCTTACTCCATGTGGGAGACGAGAGTCTGATTCTCTGGCCAGCTTAGATTACAGAGAAACAGTTTATAGGGACCTTGTGAGAGACCCAGGCCTCCTGTTGTCCCCAGGGTTGGCATAAAAAGGGCACACTTACCTAGGACAACGTTCGGAAGGGCTGGGGAAGAAGCAGGAATAGAAAGGAAGTGCAGAGAGGAAGTGGGATGAGTACGATGACATCAAGGGGGATGGTCATGAGGGGGTGAAACAAAATATTTGAATTGTTGGATGTCAGACTGGTGACGTGCTCTGTAAACCTTCACCCAGTTCATAATCAACAACAGTACAAAGCTTAGCAGCTCCAACCACGTCGAAGAAAGGCCTGGTGGGTCACTTCTGAAGGGTCCCAGCAGTGAACACCTTTGGGCGCACATTTCCATTCTGACGCTCAGGGGTCACCAGGAGTCAGAATGGACTTGGTGGGCAACGGGCTTGGTACTGGTTTGAAGTGACTTTGGGGCCAAAGCTCTGCTCTCTGTTCCCATAAAGATGCAAAGGCCCTTCCAGCCAG